CTTTCCCTCCTTCTTCCCCCACGCCCCGCCCGGCCGTCTCTCTTTCTCTCTCTCTCTCCATCAGGCCTCCAGGTATCTCCATCCTCCATGGTGGTTCCACATGCAAAGTCAGAACCCCACCTTGTTCCCTCTGCATCATGGGAAACTCCATGGAGGCAGGTACCCGTGACATGGGGACACCTCCCTGCCCCACACACCTAAGGAGCCAGAGTTCGGGGAGCTTCACCCAGGATGACCGTGTCTCTCAATTCAAACAGCGTGGCCAGGTCCTCTAGCCCACCTGTCCCCTGCACACAGGCAGTCAGGACCAATCATGGGGGACGTTGCAAGTACTGTGTCACTAATTGTGGTCCCAGTGCCTCAAGTGACCGGGCTTACAGAGGGTTTCCATTTCTCCGACGTGAACGCAGATTCCATATCAGCCCTAAAATGTCACTCTCACATTCCTTGATGCTTTCTTACAGGGGAGCAAATGGGGAGGACACCCAGCTGTCTCACTGGGAATCCACACTTCTAGGGTGTCATTTCCTCTCCCCACAAGCTTATCGAGTAGGCGCAGCTGGGGGAGGAGGGCCCAGGCTGATGCTGTACCACGCGTGTCCTGGCGGAGGGCAGTTTGGGGACGACACGACTCTAGAAAGTGTCCCAGGCCTGGACTCACCTTGGAGTCTCCAGCAATCTGGCCCACATTCCCTATTCTCAACCTAGTGCTCAGCAAGAAAAATGAGGAAAAATCCCCAAAGCATCATTCACCCCCACTGGGATCCCTCATATGAATGCGAGCCAAGGAACATGCCAGGGTCACACTGAGGGGCTTCTGCCAAAGACCATCGCCACACAGAAGGCTGAGGAATGGCTGTGCCCAGATCAGATGCCACGTTTCTGGAAAACAGCATCGCCACCACGACTCCTCCCATGCCGTGGATGGGAGGTCAGGACCAGCATCCGTGCGTTCGGCTACTGGATTGTATTATCCCACCCATGGCTGCTCTGTTTGGAAGGGTTCCATTTAATCTGAGCGCTAAAAGAATGGTTGGGATGTTGAATTGTATCCTGTCTGACGGTGTCTGCTGTGTTTTCATTCCGTTCCATCAGGAATTCCAGGCTATACCACTGATTCATTCCTCTAAAATGCCTCCCAGCCCCGGCCCCATCACCACACGCCCTTCCTGGAAACGTGCTGTCTGGGAGAAAGGGTTTCCCAGACATGTGTGGGTTGCATGCCTGGTCCCTCGGGTGCCTCACAGGAGCCGAAGGCCCCACTCTGAGATGCTGACGGGGCAGACAGAGCAGGAGCTCCTGACT